TTTCTTCTCTTTGAAACGAACATGTGTGCTATGAAAGGGATATATTAAATAATGTTATTACAAGACATACAAGTAATTTTTATCTTGATAAAAAATAGTGACCTTCTCATGTCAATTAAGAGAACCATTTCACACAATATGTGCTAGAATCTCATCTACAAGGTGTTGGCAGACAGGCTACCATACTAATACATCCCTATAAATGAGTTGCAAATATAAAAGAAGTACCTGAAAGTCATTCAGAAAAATTTTTAAAAAGCTGGCTTAAAGATGCTACATTTGTCAGCTGAAATGCATCTTTCACAATACATTCCTAGCATATAATTTTGTGCATATTATATGGTATAATGTTTTTGTTGTTGTTGTTTACAGAGCAAAAATAAAAAGTATATCCATGTACAAATGTAAAAAAGGGGCAAAACTAGAAATATGTCCATAGGACATGAATGCCCCGCTGAGGGTATATTAATTTTTATTTGCTTGTTTATTGTTTAACATCCCTCTCGAGAATTTTTCACTCATATGGAGATGCCACCATTTGCCGGTGGAGAGCTGCAAATTTTGACCTATACTCGGCACTAAGGGCCATTAAGCAGTGAGGGATCTTTTTATGCCAGCACCTACTGTGACATGGGACCTCGGTTTATACAGTCTCCACGTCCCACAGTGGGATTCGAACCAGCGACATAAGGATCAACTCCTTACTCCGCAACTCTAGAGCTTTAACCCCTGCACCATGTGGGCATATTAGTAATGCAACATAAAAATATTTTTAGTGTATGAAATTTGATGAGAATATCTTAAAATAGTTTCTTTAATATTGAAATCGAAAAAGTTGGATATAGATGATAAATTCCCACCAAATTCTGTTAAGTGCATAAGCTCACATAAAATTATATTTAATGGTTTCTTTAAAACTATGCAAAATGCAAATTTAAGAAAAGTGAGGTCCAGGTCACAGGAAAGTTCAAGGTCATACATTTTTGATGCAGTTGAATAGTTCTCACTAATACGCATAAGCAAAATAAGTTTGATAAAAATATTTTGAATGGAAACCGTTTAATTAACACTGAGCTAATCACCATTTCAAGAAAAATGAAGTCAAGGTCAAATGAAATGTCAAGGTCAAAAATGTTGATACAGTCAAATACCTTACATCAGTCTGTATCAGAATATGAAGTTTGACACTAATTTAGAAAAAGTGAAGTGAAGGTCAAAGGAAAAATCAAGACCAAAAAATGTTGATGCAGTTGAATAGCTCTCATCAGTATGTATCAGCAAATGAAGTTTGATTACGCTATCCTGAATGGTTTCTTTAAAACTGAGCTAAACACTTATTTAAGATAAGTACGGTCAAGGTCAAAGGAAAGGTCAAGGTAAAAAAATGTTGATTCGGTATGTATCAGCATATGAATGGTTTCTTTAAAACTGAGCTAAACACTAATTTAAGAAAAGTGAGGTCAAAGTTAAAGAAAAGGTCAAGGTACGTTGATGAAATTGAATACCTCTTATCAATATGTATCAGCATATGAAGATTGATAAAAATATCTTGAATAGTTTCTTTGAAACTTAGTTTTGAACTGAGCTAAAAGCAAAGCAAATGGAAGGACAGACAGAAGGTTGAAAGGACGGAAGACGGACATGACAAACTCTATATGCCCCAGCCATATTCATGGCAGGGCAGAAAAATTTCTAGTGTACTGAAATTCAAAACTGCAGTAATTGATAATTTTTTTTTTAATATAAATTCTGTATCAAAAAACATATACAAACTTTTTTGATAATTTATTCTATTCAAAGCAATAAGAAATGCATCTGTCTGCACTGCTTAAAATTGATAAGAAGGTTATGACATAACTAAAATAATGACCATGTCCACATTAAATTTAAAATATAATGAGTGACAATTCACTTCACCTTTTCTTCATTCCATTGACTTTTCTTTCGTTAAAAAATTGTGCTTGTGTACTACTCCATCTCTAAAATATAACATACAAATGAAAGTTTATGGCACTCAATGAACTCTCTCATCCCTTCCTTTACTGTTCAAGAAAAAAAAAATGCATACATGTACCACAAGCATACTTTAAATATGTGACTAGACTTTATATTTTCATACATAATGTCACCAACTTTATAAAGAATTGTGAATGCATTTTAAAGGTGAGCACATGTGAATTGAATTAAAAGTACCAGTATTTTGCAATACGTAGTATTGTGAGTATCTCACAATTATCTAACTTACAACCGCTCTTTAATTAGCATGGGAGTCAAGGAAGCTCTAAATCTCACAAGATTTCTGGGGCATAACATTACAGTGGTGACAATGGAATGATTCGAACAATCATTATGCTGAAACTACAATGTATTGCCAAGAGTTGAACTCCAAATAGTAGATTTGTCAAGTAAGGAAAGTTTAGAGTATTTTATCAACTTTCAAAAGTAACGATTTTCATTTAAAATTTAATAAGAAAAGTCCACTTAGTAAAAAGTATCGTAAAAAATGCAACATACAGGATTAGCTCCTCTCAAAAATTTATTAGGCTGGTTCAGTGCATGTTTAGCAAGATATTTCTCTAGGATTTCTTTCTTATCAGTCCTTATAAATTCCACAATGATCGATCATGCATTGCATTCAATAGTACACTGCCCCCATCCAACAGACGTTTCCTACCTCCGTGAAAGAGTTCCGCTAATTTAAGTAATCGTGATATCAAGTATTGTTGTTTATCCTTAAACGTATGTCAATAAATAAAAAATTATTTCGAACAGATCAATGCTTAAGTTTTGAGATTATCACCCTTGGTATGCTTTTTTGTTTTTTGTATGGACGAGAGATTTGTTTATTGACAGCTGCTTTTTCATTAAAAGTGGAACTCAAAAACTAACTTATCTTGTCATTTGCAAAATTATTTGCAAAAAACAATAATTTATCTTAAATATACATATATATATATTTAATTTTGAATAATATTTTAATGGAAATATCTTTTTATATTTCTGTTTGTTGATTTATTTATCAGCGATCTGTCATACGTGACTATCATTCAAGAATTGGGGAATAATATGTAATAAACTTACAATGTGGTTACAGTGAAAATCACTCATAAGAGTTAAGAAAAAATGTCCAGAAAAAGGGGTTGAATTTAGTTCCTATGTAATGCACGCACCCACACTTTTGAACAATTTTTCTGAAAAAAAAAAAAGTGCGTCCGATACACGTGACTTTACGGTATTAATTATTTCCATTCATATTTCAACACAATTATCCCAATGAGCTTGATAATTTAAAGATACCACAGAGTCCAGGGATCGACATTAACCGTTGTCCGATTGCCCAGGGCAAGTTAATTCCCAGTTAAGGCAAGTGAAAATGCCAATGTACTTGTCCGATTGGGCAAGTGAATGTTTCAGATAAAAACTTTTATTTTTTTTTTTCATATCTTGCATTAGTTTTAAACAAAACAATAACACTTTCCGCCAAGAACATATCAAAAATAGTTTCTTAAACAAGAATAGTTTGTTTTTTCACTCAGAGAACACCAGTTATTCTCGGCAAACAATGTATTCTGATCAGGATATGTATGTTTCAAAACATAACAACTGTTTTCCTTTAGTGTGGCCTCAGTTTTCCAGAGAAAAAAATCAAAATAATATATATATATTTAAAATATGAATTTTATTTTAAAGAAAATATATACTGCTGCATGGCAGTGCAAGTTTTCAGGATAAATGAAAGGACAGTGGTATACATGTACAGAATTTACAATTGTAGGATAACTGACACATCAACATTTTTTCTTGGCAGTTAACTTGCCAATAGAAAGTACTTTATTGCACATAAATTAAATTACCCGTATTTTCTTCTTTCTAAGGTTTGGGCAACCAAGTTTTGCATTTGGACAAGTCAAAATTTGTTGTCCCAAAGGACAAGTGAATATGAAAGTTAAAGTCAATCCCTGGAGTCTGACACATCTGTTTCATATTTTGATAATTTTCTATAAAAAGAGGTTAATACCTAACAACAAACCTTTATGACTAACTTTTCAATCATTAACTTCCCTTACTTATGCAGCAATATACCCTCATCACCTGCATACAGGGTTCATATCTCTCTGTTGATTCGATACGCAAGAGCATGCTCTACCTATGAACAATTTCTAAAACAAAGTAAGTTATTGACAAACAAGTTGATGAAACAAGAATATCATCAGTCTTGTTTAAAGTCATCATTACAATAGTTATATGGTCGATACAATGACCTTGATGCTTGTCAGAAAATACAATCTATCATTAAGTCAAGTGCTGATTGACGTTTTAAATCTAATTTCCAGGCCATTATTTACAAACTGAATTGCATACAGATTTTTCTAATTTTTCCCGGATCATGACAGGAAGCACACCGCGCGTGTGACTGGTCAGCAAGGGATGGTCACTCCTCCATGGCACCTGATCCCACCTCTGATGTTTTAGAGGTCCGTATTGTTCTGCTCCTGAATTTTATTGTTTGAACGAACTTTTGAGCTTTAATACTGTTTGTTATCTCCATATATTTCATTAACCTGCTAGTAGGACATGTTCAATATACTGGTCTATAACTGTTTATTTGGATGCACTAATCAGCTCAAAATTTAAATAATAAATACCAAAAATATCGGGGAAAAAAACACACTGGAAAAATCTTATAATAATACGAAGAAAGAAAAATGGATCTCTAATATATAGGCATCTGATCACTGCATGTCAGGATTCTAAATGAAACACTGACTCTTTCCCCTCGTAATAATTTTAAAGATTCCACTATTTTTTTTTTTAGAATAAATTTGTACAATCTAGGAAGTGTCTTCTCTCAAAGGAATTGATGATTCATTTGTTTTCAATCATCCTAATTAAAACTAGATTTTATAAACGAAATATGGAGACAATGAATAGTATTTAAGCTCAAAAGTCCATTCAAATTATGATTTGAGCAGTGCAACCTCTACCTCAAAAACATCCGAGGTGGGATCAGGTGCCTTAGAGGAGTGAGTATCCACTGCCGACTGTCACTCTCACTGCCAGACTCCAGATGATTCTTCATTAAACCTTGGCTGTAACTGTAGGTAACTTCATATGTGTCTCCACCTATCATTAGTGATACAACTGCCTGTTTACTGCTTAGAGAAAAGTAACACTTAGAAAAGGATAATAAACAAGAATCTGATATACCATGAAAATCCTTAAGAGCAGTGAGGAAACACTTAAAACATTACTTTTCAAGAAACATGCATTTAATATTACATGTACATAATTAATTTATAAAATTTTAATTAGGGATGGAAATAAATAATATCCAAACATGAAACAGATGTGTCAGACTCTGTGGTATCTTTTATTTCAAGCTCACTGGGGTATAATATATATAGTTGACATATGAATGGAAATAACTGTTGTTAATTGATAATATATCATCGATATATCTCACTGTCGAGTTCAAGACCACAGCAAGTGTTTTCTTCTTCTCATGTGTAAGATTTTGAATAAATTCTGCTTCATATGAATATAAAAAGAGGTCTGCTAGCCTAACAACAAGTTGCAATTGGTACCCATGGGAATTCTGACAGATTATTGGAAGACCTGGTCTCCAAAAACTACATATATATTGTCAATCAGAGACTCAAGCATCCAAAAACCTGTATTACTAAAGTATAGCTCAATATGATCACCAAAATCATCATTGCTTGACATAATATGCATGTATAATCTTTCTTTAATATTAATTACATTTTAAAAGGCCCTAATTAAGCCATCATTTTGACATTTATTTAATCATGATTGTGTATACTTTATCAACAATCTCTGCCACTTTCATGCGGATATGGCTTCTTTTTGTGTTTCTCTTGTTGAAGAGCTACAATCTCCAAACTTGTGTATTGAGTATAATAACTTTCATCCTTCTCATATTGGCCTAGGTGAAAACAGATAATACTACAGGTCACTTACTCAGAAGGATTACTTGATTTTGTTGATCATGTTGATTGATGGTAGTCTGCACAGTAGCGCTAGCAGTTTCTTTTTTACCATTTCACTGTGAAAAAAAAATGTGGAACTTATTAAATATTAAAAATATTTACCACTAAATTAGCATTGGTGATATGGTCATTGCTCTTTTTTGTAACAAATCAATTAAACACTGCACCTTTATATAGTATGAATTATATTGCATGTACTTTCGATCAATCTATTTAAAAAACATCAGATTAATTACCAATAGGTTCTTGAATTTTTAGTTTCTGTTGCATTGGGCTGAAATTACGAGAAAAACTTTATTTTGAACAAGCATTTATATGTACAGTATTGTACTTGCATACTTAAATACCTACTATAATTAAGATTAAACAAGCATTTTGAGAGTATTGCATTAGCAATACTAGTCCCCTACCGGCAAGTGTAATCTGGTTCCCACTAAAAAATGAATTGCCACAATACCATTAAAAATCATTGATTAAGAAGCATAACAAAATGCAAACTTGAACTGTAACTCATCAAGATACACTTACATACCAAAACTCAGCTCAATATCTGCAAGTGTTTAGAAAAAAGTGCGGAAAACAAATGGGACAGACTGAAAGAGGGACAGACAGACAGATGGACAGACTCGGAGGAAACCTATAATTCCCTGGTTTCACCGGTAGGGGACTAATAAAAAAGTGGGAAAAAGCCACCCTGTTAAGCCCTACTTTCGTCTCCCATGGTGAGCAGTGGAAAAAGGTCTTGGATATGTTGTACATGTACTTTGTATCAATCTGTACATGCATAATCCATTGGCTTATGAAAGAGGCAATGTATTCGTAATGTAAACTTTTAAATGTAGTGGTAATGTGTACATTTTTTGCAGTGGTAATGAGTATGTAGCGGTAAATAATTACCATTTTGAAAATGTAGCGGTAATGATATTCACCTGGATAAAGAAATGGTCTATCTATTCCAATCACATTTTTGACAAGATAGGGCACTTCTTATTTGCTGTACATATAATTGTTTTCATTTTCATACTGCTTTTTGGGAAGATTGGGAAAATAAAGACCTTTTAGGAAATTTTGGAATAACTATTATACGTACTTTAAAATCATATATATTGGGTTTCCGGTCTTCGTTATCAACTAAATTTGTTTTATAAAACAGAGGAATATGAATAGCAAGTTAAGTTATTACCGGTATATATCCAGCTATATTTTCTTTAATTTTTGGGAGAAATTACTATTGGGAAAATTAACACATTTATTGGGTAAAAAGGCACCTTTTTTTGAATTGGGAGTGGGGCCCTTGAACGGCCCCAATTATAGACAATTGAGAGCCCTGTTTCATATTTGAGAGGTCGATTTATAACCTTCGTTCTTCATTTTTTTAAGCTTTGGGTGTGTGTTGATTACAACACATATGTTAAGTGACTTATCTTTAAGTTATTGTCAAAGAAATTTCAAGTCTGTTAAAATCTTAATGTTTAAATAACTTGTGCCCTGTACGAAATAAGATTTTGTAGCAAATAATCTTTACAACCAAGCTGCAATTTTCCCCAAGTTATCAGGCTGAAAAAGGTGGTGCATATTTAAACCAATGCATATTATATTCGGCAAGATATGGTAACTGCTTGATTGTCACATTTCAGTTTGAAACATGTTACAAGTTTTATTTCAAAAAATGAAAATATTATTGAAAAAGTAAATACAAATACTCATTGACAAAAACTATTTACTAGGGATGGCAATTTCTAACCGGTTAACTGATTACTCGGTTGGAACGATGGCAATCGGTTAGAAAATCTGCAATCGATTAGTCATAAAAAAAATTATAATATATGTAAAACTGAAGGCAATGTACTAAAATTCATTTTCAAAATAGAAATTCCTACCTAAACATTTAATTTAGCATTTTCATTTATTTATTTAGGCTGATTGGGAGGTCATTATGGCTCTCCAGATTAAAATTGTGGGGTAATTGGTCAGTCTGAGATATGTTAATTACTGTTAAAACATCATGTCGTTACCCCGACTGTCCTCTAATTCTTTAATGATAATAATCACCGTTGAGCACCATGAATTGGTGTGTGTGTATCTTTTGCAGTTATCTATCACATTAGATTATAATACAAACATTGTAAATTAAGGGGATGAAGGACACATGGTCACATGACTCTTTTTATCTACGTCATAATCTCCGTTTATATAAGTCCAAAACGTGTAAAGCATCAGTTCTTGTATAATTTTTTGACATTTTTTTTTAAACTTAAATTGCCATCTTATATAAAAAAGTAAAAAGTTTTAACATTCATGTAAACATTAACAAATTATGAAAAAGATTGATCCACTCCTCTGTTTCCCTAAACTGCGCGTCCATAAGTCGGTGACGTCATACACGATCTATTAGTACAGCAAGATCATACTCGGTGAATACAGGGGCAGTATTATTATGTAAAATCAGGTCATAATCAGTATGTGATGAAATATTTTGAGAAACGGGGAACATAAAAATTATGATTGCATGGCTGATGACAGAAATCTTATGTAGGCATATCTTATTTCGCTTATTTAGCTTACGTGTGACGTCATAGTTGGTTTTTCCCGTACTCAAGAAATGTAAATATGACACGTTTTGTCATGCTTATGTCCTCTGTAATGATGTCCTGTGCAATATTGAGGTCAGCTTCACCATTCAAAATTTTTAAAGTTAACCAATAATTTGAAGGACTTGCATTTCAACATAAATTTAAAAATATTGAATGATAGAATTTTTTGTAAATTACGTTTTTTTTTGTTGCTTAAGTTGTCTCAAAAAGTACGTAATTTTCCCTATTCAGATGCGGTGTGACAGGATAAAATTGCTTTTTCGAATTTTAAACCTATTCATACTCTGAAATATTTTAAGAGATACATGTCCACTTGCATATTTTTTATATATGCTTAAAAAATCCCATTATGGACAGAGTATTGGGCCCGGAAACATGAAGAATTAAAACTCCACTTAGATACTGCAGGGCATAGTATTTGTCAATCAATATCTCTAAAATAAGGTCAGAAACCTACTGATATAACTGCTTTAAGATATGTGGGACATACTAAATTAGAAATATACAAAATATGAAAAAAATTGAATGACAAGGATTTTTTTGAGCTCAAGGTCCTTCTTCCCCTTAAGTGATACAATTTAGACTTAGTTTTGATTATGGTGATAATGAAGAATGAACTTGTGTGACATCCGCTCATGAAAATTATCCACGATATCTCAGGCATGGTTCATGGTTTTCTGAATTTTTTCTTGTCTATTGAAAAAAAATATGCGCGTAGTTTTATGATCAAGAAAGACAAATAGAATGATTTTGACCTCTAACAACTTTTTTAAAGACTTCTTGTGCATAGGAATAGAGGTACTTGAAAAAAAGTCAAGAAAATGACATTGTGTAGTTTGATACGATTAACCGGTTAATTGGTCGGAACATTTTGCGGTTAACCGATTTGCAATTCTGTATTTGATTGCCATCCCTACTACAGTGGCTGCAACGTTATTGTTGACAAAAGAATCATGTAGAATCGTTCGTGTAACATGCGTGATCGTTCGTGTAACATGCGAGATCGTGCGTGTATCAGACTCAATCGTTTGCGGTTTTAATCGTGCGTTAAGAAACGTGTAAATTTTGTTTTGTAAGTTTTTATTGGAATGTTTTTGTTATACAAGCATTTCACTTGCCTGTTTTTTTTTTTTTTCAATCCAAATTAAAAAGAAATGAAGCGCGATTTACATAACTGAAAACAGAATGAACTAATTATCGCTTGGAAATAAACAATATAGTAAGTCGTACAATATTGTGTTCTCGTCAAATAGCATGATTTTTTTTCTGATAAACCGTACTTAGATGTTTGATTTTTTTCTCTGATGTTAAATAAATTATATTTATTGCTAATTATGGTCAAGATATTTTTAAAATCAATAGATCAAAAAATAAACATTTTTACAAATAAATAATTCTCAATGCTTACATAAGTATTTAGTCGGTGAATGTACATTTACACAACATGATTCTCGGGGTTTCGTTTATCAGTGTTATCTCTGGAGGTTACTTTTGATTATTTTTTTTAATTTCTGCAAATAAATGATTTGTAAAATAATTGTTGATTTTAGAGATTCACAAATTGAAATGTGGATATAACTTATAATTTAATTCATTTTCATGCCATTTTTTTCAAACTTATCCCTTTCTGCATATTATGAAATCCAATTCAATCAAAACTCACGGTCCACCTACATGTACATCTTCTGATAGAACGAGAAAAAAACAATCAGTTTTCTAAAGTCAGAGAATTACATAAATAATTTTTTGTAATCTAAAATAATTCATAAATCTTACATGTATTTAGTTCCAGAAATATCCATTTCTATTTTTTTTTTTTCATTTTTCAAAGTTGATGAAATAAAATCAATCATTATTTGAAATCTAAGATAAGTATTAAGCCTTATTTCTTTTTGAAAATATCCATTCCTAAAGAATTTGAACTATTTTGCGTTAAGAATCGTGCATTTCCATTAGCAATCGTGTAAGATTGTGTAACGTGTAGAATCTTGTGTGTGAAGGATCATTCGTGTAACAGATTTTATCGTGTGTGAATCGTGCGGAATCGTCTAACGTGATCGTTCGTGTAAGTTGTCAACAATAACATTGCAGCTACTGTATCTACTAAGTGGTTAGTATGTAAATTGTAACTGGTTACAAAACTGGTTATGAAAATTTTAACTGGTTATGATCTTTCTTAATAGTTAATAAACCAGTTAATCATTGCCATCCTTATTCCAAAGATACTTTGTGACAAGTTTTGGTTTAAACTTGTCCAGTAGTTCTTGAGAAGAAGTTGAAAAATGTGAAAAGTTTATGCATGACCCAAGCCCTTGCTTATGCAAAAACATCCAAAAACAGATAGAAATATGTTACCATGGTTACCTAGGTAATTCAGTTAACTTATATCAAACCACACATTGTCAAATAAATAAGACAAAGACTAAGTGCTTTTCAAGGGTCCAGATCAGCATTCAGTCAGTATCAAAGTATCATGGTCTTTAGAGTTTTGTATATGCCTTTTGTCTTCAATGGTAACCTGTACTTATACATGTACTTAAATATGGCCATTGAGGAGACCACTTATAATTAGGCATAAAGTAGACCAGTGAGAAAAATTGAGTAAATTGAATTAACCCTTGATATCAAGTATATACAGTATATAAATATACCATTCTAATGATCTTATTCACTATATGCATCAATACCCTGTATTATATTATACTGCATATCAAATTAAAACTTATTTATTGAGTCACAACTGAAGTGTTGCTGGACTGAAAGACATAAAGATGGACAATATGTGAATCCTATAGAGCTTTATCATTTCATGCAGGCCCTAATTAACATTCAATCAGTGATAAAGTACCTTTTACTTAGATTTTTATATTTACCTTTGTCTGCTATAGCAACCTGTACTTATACATGTTATACTTAAATATGGCCATTGAGGAGACCACTTATAATTGGGCATAAAGTAGACCACTGAGAAAAATTGTTGATATCAAGTATATACAGTATATAAATACACCATTCCATTCTAATGATCTCATTTACTGTATGCATCAATACCCTGTATAGTATTACACTGCATAAACTAAAACTTGTTTATTGTGTCACAACTGAAGTGTTAATTGCTGGCTGAAAGACATATAAAGATGGACAATGTGAATCCTATATAGCTTTAACATTTCATGCAGGCCCTAATTAACATTCAATCAGTGATAAAGTACCTTGCACTTTAGATTTTTTATATTTACCTTTTGTCTGCTATAGCAACCTAGTTCTTATACTTAAATATGGCAATTATGGAAACTGCTGATAATTGGGCATAAAGTAAACCACATAGAAAAAATTAATATACTTAATGGGAAAATTTTACTGTACTCACTGTTAATAGCAAGTACATTTATATGCATGTATTATAGATATATACAGTGGTGCCTTGTTTATCCGGACGCCTCTTTGGCTTAAGTTTGTTAAAAATAATATTGATTAATTTTGAACTGTTTCTTATTTGGGCTAGTAATTTTTTCCTAATCAGTAGCCCCTGGGCTAGTGGGATTTCCAGGAAAATTTCAACCCCTGAAGATAAGTATGAAAAAGTCATTTCTTGAAAAATTACCATCCGGATAAACGAGTCATTTTTCAATGAACTATTACGTTTTGTAGTAGAAATCGACCGTTCGGATGTGGAACACGAATTTCTGGATTAATGAGACAGAATGACATGGAAAAAAATCTATTCCCGAAAAATAGCATCTGGAAGGTGAAGTGTTCGGATAAACATGGCGCCACTGTATATACCATAAATGACTATGACCTATGGTACATATAGTCAGAGAAAAACAATCAATTAAAGCTGACCACATCTCATAAATAGGCATACACCATATTCGATTATATATCATCTACTATATCAGCACCAGGGTATACTCTTCGCATTTGTTACACCTGACTGCTTTATTGTCACAGGTATCGGAGTGGAATGGTGACACATGCTCATGCTGGTTATCTTGCATTGCCTTTGTTTATTTATTTTATTGCAGTTACGTGTACTTGTGTAGTTTGTATACTGCACTGACCTGTGCGACTGTTGTAAGTTTCATTGGCATCTTTCTCTCCTGCCGTGAAAGAAGTACACAGTAATTTTTTGTTGCTACCCAGAGCTATGTAGCATACGTCAGTCTGTCTATACAGACAGGTGACAACAGATTACACTGAACAGTGACTAAGTGAGTGGCTTATATAGGGACCCTACAATATAGCGTGAATAAAGGAATATGGCGGAAAAATTCCTTTTACACAGTGTGTTCAGATTTAAAATCACTAACTTTAAAGCAAACTAATGGATTACATACCTTTTCCCATAATTCACTTCAAATTCCTACTCATCATGTACGGCTACTTCAGAATCTCACATGTATACATTCTTTGACTTTTCCATAGGAACATTATTTCCTACAATGTACAATCACATTTTAAAACATTCAAATATTACTTCCAATTGGACATAATTGGTAGTTCACAAGCTAGAAAGCTCACTTAGTAGTTGGATTGATTGTTTAATTGTATGTCGTTTTACATCCTGTTTAAGAATTTTTCACTAAAATAGAGATGTCACCATATAATGGTCAATAATCTTTTCAACAGTTTTTTTCTTAAGAGATTTCAGGCTGTCTTTACTGCAATTGTCAGTCTACATTACCACCCATTGTGGTATACTGATCCCGATTTGTTTTCATAGGATTTAAGTTTTAGTTTGTGTGATAACTGGATATCAAAAAGTTTCAAAGTAGAGTGTCATGAGCTCATCAATGCTAATTATCAAAACACTACTTCTAGAAAATCAAAACATTTAAGTTAAATTAACCATTCAAAATATTTTTTGAAAAGTAAAACAAAGGTCAAAGTCAAGTGAACTATAATGCTGGTATTTTTCATTATAATTTATGATAAATTGTGCACATGCTATTAAAAGCATAGACTTACCTCTTTTAAATTATCAAAAATATGCTGAATATTGGCACTTTAAACTTTTTTATAAGTAGGTCAAAGGTAAGTTCAAGGGTCACAAGATTGGCAACCATGGTATTTAAAAAAAGTCAGAGTGCCAAGCAAAATATTAACCAAATATCAAAAACAATTAAACCTCTTACAATTCTTGAGATATAAGGTGTGACAGATGGACAGACAGACAGATGCCAGGTAAATTGATCCCTAGGTGTTGCACTGCTGTGCAGTCGACTCACAAAAAATGTTCTTCAGACTTATTTATCATTGGAATGACTAGTAAACACCAAACTGAACTTAACCTGCTTAAGTGAGCTAGTAGTGCCCAGTACAGAGCAACAAGTGCTGTGAACAGCGAGTGAAGTGTGACCGATTGATTGAGTGTTGTTTTATGTCCATTCGAGAATTATTTCACTCATAAAGAGTGAAGGGTTAAATAATTACAATAAAATGTAAGGAGGCAAGTCTGCCTCACCATAACCTGGTTCTTTGTGGCCCTATTTTTAACCTCCATACCCATCTCCACTGGGAATTCATTTCCTCCTCCCCCAACAATCACTTCATGACTCCATAAGCAGCCAAAGGCTGTAATGGGCAACTAGTTCATTAACAGCTAGGGCTATCAGGAATTCAAAGTCACTGAAGTTCTTTTGGTTTTTATGATACTATCAAACTATCAGTCTATCACTGAGTATCTGCATGCTTTAAAAGTTAGTATTTACCCCTGATTTGCTTTAATTAAAGCTTTTTTGTCTATTTTCTGCTAACAATTTATTTACAGTTTATAACTAATAAAGCAGCAAATTACCCCATGTTGCAGATTCTCTTCATCCAAGTAATTGATGTACATTGTACTTAATTTCTTCATTTGTTCATCTGGATCCTTTCACTGCATTCATACAGTACCAGTAACTGTTATATATGGATATATTTCTTTGTCAAAGCTGTCACTTTTTAGGCACAATTGCTAAGTTTGCATCTTTATCAGCATTATTTATTAATGAAATGACAAATTCCATCAGACACACCTGCAAAAATGAAAACAAAATCTATTAATTTACATATAATCATGTCCATATTCTCTTGACTTCATTATTATATAATTGAACTGTTTTATACTGCACTGCAAATATAAAGGGCTGGGATAATACACTTTCGTCTACTATTCTATATCTAATATACTATATTAGGTATCACAATATTTATGCTACAATACAGATCACAATATTTTTAATCGGTTATAATTGTTTCATTTTATATTATAATGTAGCAAAGTTTGACACCATGCATATCCAAAGTCTCTAAAAATTTACAATTTTAGCCATGTATATGTGTTATGCAAGGGTGTATCTGTCAGTATTTCTAAAATTTATCAAGCATGACATTTAAATTGATACAAATATTTTGATTTCAGCTTTTCTTTTTCATGAAGTTCGACTTAAATATTCTTTGATAATTTTTAAATCAAAATAAAATCAAAAACTTTTAATTTCTTCATTTTATTTGCTTGGAAAATAATTATTTTTTTCTTTTGTATTTGTACGAGTATTTAGTTGAAACTAGTTCTACATGTATATTAGCTAATCAGTGAAAATCTGTATGTTTGATTTACATGCCTGTGTGTGCATTATATTACAAATCATGGGATCTGTGCTTGTAGGTGCACTCAATGTTTTAAAGTTATTCATAATTTGAGAATTATTGTCTCTTTTTTTTATTGTCAGTATATTTAAACCAATATTTTTTGGTTTTACAAAATAATACGAATTTATATTTTCTTTTTTAAAAGAGATGATGCGAATTATAATTTCAATTTTAATTTTGTTTATATATTGTTGCTGTGATCCCAATAACCTAGATTAGAATGTTCTAATCATTTAAATGATATTGTCCTACGTTCCGTGTATTGGCAATTTATCAAAATAAGCAAGTTCGATAACTCGAACTGACTGCATTTTCTATGAACAATCCAGAGAGTTCCGAATTCAACATGGCGTGTAAAGGACAAGATAGGCTAAGACCCCTTTTTGGCCCCTGGTTTGGGGTGTTGTTTAGAATGATACAACAGTTTATCAATAGAAACCTGTTGTCACCCCTGCCAGAAAATGAGTATTGGTTCTAAGTTATGTGATACATACAGGTCACAGGAAGATCAGAAAATATGTCAATTTCCGAATTTTCTCATTTTATGCAAATGTTCATCGATTTTACAGCACATTTTGTTTCAGAAAACATAGAGCACAAGCTTGCCTATCTACCAAATTTATATATTTCATATATATATTATTATAACAGTAACTTGATCCGAAGAGTCGTATCACGTTGAGTTGACAGGCGCGGATCATCAGATCAAACGAGACGCGAAGCATCGAGTTTGATCTGATGATCCGCGCCTGTCAACGAGACGTGATACGGCTCTTCGGATCAAGTTACTGTTATAATGATAAATTTATTATATACCCCCTTACAACTAACAAGATATAGTTTTAAAAACTTCTGAGATTAATTATTTAATATTTTTCCATTAAACAAAGCATTCTGTCAAGGGACTTTTTGATGCGCAAGAAATATAACGTCATGTTTCTGTGTACTACGTCATCAATTTCAGAGAGGGCTGATATGGATTCAGAAAACCACAGTGTGGTGATCGGAAAGTTGGATCACACCGTCACGTGATTGTACAAAATCTACAGTAAAATTGAGTGATACACTGTTGGGTATATAATAAATACTAGTATCAGATGCATCTTATGTATAAAAATCTCAGATAGGCAAGCTTGTGCTCTATGTTTCCCGAAGTGAAAAGTATATCAAATTTGAGGATATTCCAATAGAATTGAGAAAATTCAGGATATTGTCCTACTTCTGCACCCTCTTCTGGTCTCCGTGTAAGCTTTGAATCAAAATTAGTGCTGGTTTTAAAACAAGCATCATTTTTAGTTCTTAACTACAAACTATCACTATTTTAACTATGTTCTGATTTTTACATCAAATAAGGGGCCAGATTCTGCCGTTACCATACCTTGTCCTTTGAAGTGAGGAAAAAAGGTTGAGAAAATGAGTTGAATTTTCTTATTTCTATGGATTATTTTTTAGGTTAAAAGGCATATAAAATCTCAAAAAGGTTTGTTATGATTAATTTGATAGTTATTTTCAGTGCAATTTTTTTTGTATTCTTCAAAATCATTTCTGAGCGGATCCTTTCCAATATGCTACATTGCTAGTATATGGGACATATTCTAACTGTGGTGATCGAGGGCTTGTTCCGAGACAAAGTTAGATTGTTCTAACTAGAAATAACCCAACAATATATCTTGTAAATCTTCCAAAAAAAAGAAGAAATCTTGTAAAAAGATATTCCATAGAGAAAATTACCCAGAAAACGTTGTAGCATAACAAACACTGACATATACTCGAACAAAACTTAAGTTAAGTATGAAAAATAATCAGATAATGGGTCAAAATCACACCAGTGACCACCTACCCTAATCAACTGTTATCCACAAAAAAAAATTATATACTTATATCAGTCAGGGGTGAGACTGAAATCCGTCATTTCTGAAAAATGATGGATAATCGTCATATTTACTAAGTACGTATTTTCGTCATTTTTGTCAATATGACTTACTATCGTCATATTTTCTTTTTCAACTTAATTCTTCTATCTTGGTTACATAAAAGCGAAATTTGAATTTACCGCTGAAAGAAGAGTGTTTACGCAAGTTTCATTTCATCCGGGTCACTAATTACTGCCGACCACGTGCGTTAGAACATCAACATGGAAGGTGAAAGTTATTATTTAGTGGTAAAATGTCGAATTTTGGTAGAACTAATTCGCCATTTTTACATGGCTTTTAGCCCTATAAAAACATATAGTACACCGTCTGGAAGAATACGTACTTGTAGAGAAAAGTCTCTACAAAAAGTTAAAGCCATAAAAAAGTAGTGCGCCCCGTAAAACAAGCGAGATATTTCAGTGCGCCCAGACCCTCCATTTTGAAAAAAGACGGAATATCGTCATTTTCGTCTTCTTTCCTATTTAATGCAAATAAATTGACAAATAACTCTTCCACTCTTATTTTTGCTTGGGAAATTTGTACTGTCAACATAACCAGTATTGTAGTCAACTGTATTAGAGATATGAAGTTTGTTTACGATGTTTTTTGTCCTTTTTTCGGTTGGTGGATCTAACATTTTTCAAAGAGAGGTAACTCAGTATTCTAGAAACACTCTAAATTTTTATGACTGTTTTTCGTCATTTTCTTAAAAATGACGAGTTTAAGTCATAATAAAAATTTTATTTTATGACTAAAAATCGTCATTTTAAAAATGACGGATTTCAGTCTCACCCCTGACTGTATATGTCAATCTACTTCCAAAATTACATGTTTTCCAAGATCTTACAAAATTATTTTTACAGTATGTCTCTT